ATTTTATTTCTAATTCTGACTGCATCTATTTTGTTTGTGGAAAAGCTTTTCAGCTTTATACAATTAAAATTGTTCATTTTATCTTTTATAATCATTACTCTCTCTTGTTTGGTAAAGAACTCAAATTGTGAAATGTATCCTCCCTTCTCTGCCAGTTTGTTTATTGTATGACCTAGCATCTATTGAGATGATCATATGGTTTTAGATATTTTGACTTTTAATATTATTATGTTGATTATTTTCCTAATGTTGAACCATCTTTGCAACCCTGGCTTAAATTCCAGTAGGTCATAATGAATGTCTTGGATAAATCACTGTTGTCTGACAGGATTTTGTTTAAAATTTTAGAGTCAATATTAATTAATGATATTGGTCTATAGTTTTTCCCCTTCCATTTTATCTTTCCCTGGTTTAGATATTAGGACTATGTCTGTTTGATAAAAGAATTCTGAGAGGGTGCTCTCTTTTTAAATTTTTGAATAATTTGTGGAGTATGCCTACTATTTGTTCTTTAGAATTTTATAGAATTCTCCTGTGAATCCATCAGGATCAGATATTTTTTCCTATGGTAGTTTCTTTGTAGCTAGGTCAATTTCCTTTTTTTGGATTGGGTTATTTCAGATAATATATCTGGTTTTCTGATACATTGTATATTTCATATTTTTGAAGGTATTCAATTTCATTTGTGTTCTCAGTTTTGTTAGCATATAATTGCACACAATGTGTTCTAATTATTATTTTCATTTCTTCTGGTTTGTTGTGAATTCATCTTGTTTGCTTCCTGTATTTGATTTTATTTTTTCTCCTTTTAAATCAGATTAGCTAAAGGTTTATTGATTTTATTAGTCTTTCCAAAGAACTAGCTTTTAGTTTTATTTATCAGTTCTGTGATTTTATTGTTTTCCATTTATTTTTCCTCTTTTTAAACAAATTCTCTTTTATACTTTTCTTTTTGGTTTGTTTATTTATCAGCCTTCTAATTTTTTAAATGTATATTCAGTTCATTTATCCTTTACTTTTCTATTTTGTTAATGTATGTTTAGAGGGATATGATTTTTTCCCCCAAGGACAGCTTTACCTGAATCCCGGAAATTTTTGTAGGTTGTTTTGTAATTTTCTTTTCTCTCACATAATAATTAATTGTCTCTAAGATTTGTCCTTTAACATACTTGTTATTTAGGATTTCAATGTTAGGTATGCATTTAGGTTTGTGTCTTTTTTTTTTTTTTAGTCCTTGAACTAATGCCTGTTTTTACCGTGTATGTTCTATAAAGAATGTATTAACTATTTGTGATATTTTACATTTTTTGTAGCCTTGTTTCACTTTATTTTTTTTTCTGCAGGTGATCTATGAATTCTTTCAATTAATATTCATTTTCTGTATTTAGAAGTTCTGGATAGTTCTCTTTAATTATTATTTTGCATGTTTGCATTCTGGGTTTTTTATCTTCTTCTGGGAGATCTATAACCCTTAGTTATCTATGCACCCTGTCTTTGAGATTAGAATGTTTTACTTGGATAATGAGCATGCTGTCTTTCAGTGTTACTGTTGTTCTGCTTTTCTTCTTCTAGATTGTCCTTCACTTCTGCATATTTGCATTCCCAGTCTATTGTTCTTTCTTTTGTTTCTTTGGTGAGACTTTCCATTGCAGGTTCCAGTTTTCGATTCTGCACGTTATTTTTGCTTTTCAGATCTTAAATTCTGCTTTCATGATTTTTATTTTTTCTCTCAGAACATTCAGGAACAGTATGTTGCAGTTGCATGTTCTGAAATTCCACAGGGTGCTCTGTCTTCCTCCTCTCCCTCCTCTCAGTCAATTGGATAGTTTTCCTTTGTTTTACAATATTTATTCATAGATGCCTGTACTTTACTAGATCTAGAGGCCATATTCTACTGTTATTGTTTTCCCTGTTGATTTAAGTATTTGTGTTCAAAGTCTTTGAGATTTCTTCTTCCTGAGATCTTTGGTAATTTTAGTCCCCTCCCCGCCAACTCCCTTATTTTATCCTTGTCCTTACTTTCTGACTTTCTAATTTGCTTCTCTCTGATGGTTGTTTCCCTGGTGGCTAAACGTCAAAGCACTTCAGCCTTCTCCCACACTGGATAATTAATAGTTCACCAGCTTAGGTCTCTGCCCCAAGTGACTTTTAGAGGACAGGAATGGTGTCAGCTGGATGCTGAGTTCTTTCACTCAGCCTTAGTAGAGTGCTGCACAGTTTCCCCAGTTTCTGCCCCCCAACCTACAGTATCCTGTTCTGTCTTGTCCCATCTTGTTCTGTTCTGTCAGTGAGTTTTTGTACCTCCTTTTCCCTTTGTATAATTCTTACTTTTTAAGGAGTTTTTTCTTCAGTAAATCTTTGTGTCTCTCCATTTGGCCAGTTCTGCTTTTTAAGGCATTCTTCTCTTCATTAGCTTATTGTACCTCTTTTGCCATTTGGCCTTGTCTGTTTTTCAAGATGTTATTTTTTTCAGTATTTTTTTTTGTGTGTCTCCTTTGTAAGCTGTTGACTCTTTTTTCATGACTTTCTTGCATCATCCTCATTTCTCTTCCCAATTTTTCCTCTACCTCTCTTACTTGATTTTCATAATCCTTTTTGAGCTCTTCCATGGCCTGAGACCAATTCGTATTTTTCTTGGAGGCTTTGGATATAGGAGCTTTGACTTTGTTATCTTCCTTTGAGTGTGTGTTTTGCTCTTCCTTGTCACCATAATAACTTTCTATGGTAAGAACTTTTTTTCCTGTTATTTACCTAATTTCCCAGCCTATTTCTTGACTTTTAACTCTTTATTAAAGTACGGCTCTGCTTCCGTGGTGGAGGGCACACTGTCCCAAGCTTCAAGGGTTTTGTGCAGCTGTTTTCAGAGAAACTGTAGGGACCTATACATTTTCCAGTTCTTCCAAGGTGGTATGATCTAAGGAGAGGTGTGTTTACTCCTCTCCTGGCCTGTGTTCTGGTCTGTGAGCAACCACAAGCATTCTCTTCTGCCCTGGAACTATGGGGAGGGTCCCTGCTCCATTGTGGCACAAGCTAAACTGTGCTGGTGCTCCTCCTTGTCCTGGGACTGCCACTCAGGACTCTGACCCTGATCCAAGTATGGACAAAGCAACAGAGTCCTGCCTCAGTGCTAACAAAGAGACCCTTGTGATCTCTTTCTAATCCATTGTTCAACCCCCTAGCTGTGTGTGGGCTGAGAACTCTGGAAGCAGCTGCTGCCACTACTGAGTCAGTGACCCCTAAGGCCTGTTCCTGATTTGATGGGGCTGGGGCTGGGGCTGGGCTTCCGTGGCCTGCACTGGACTGTTCCAGTATCACTCAGGTGTGACAGACCCTTCCTGCTGACCTTCTAAGTTGTCTTTGGCTGGAAATTATTTCACCCTGTTGTTTTATGGATTTTCCTGCTCCAGGAACTGTCATTTAAAGTTATTCAAGAGTTTTGGGAAGAACTCGGGCAAGTTGCTGCCTTTTCTCTGCCATCTTGGCTCCACTCCTGGGAGCATTCTTTATGCCTCCCCCTTTTCAATTCCCAAAGCCTGAGCTATAAACCAAATAATAGTTCTTTGTCCCACTTCCAAAAAGTTATGGAGTTTAGATTCCCTTATTTCCAAGCCCCAAGTGTCTTTAATTCTCTGGTACAGATGAGTGATTTGAAAAAAAGTCACATTTAAGTCCAGAGGGAAAGGATATTTTCTCTATTACCTGCTCAGGAGTATTTCTAGCCTTTTCATATGGGGGCCCAGTCTATTCCAAATTCTCAGAAGGTCTTTGGGGCACTTCCTGAGCTGGCTTTGGGTAAGAACATTTTGCTTCACCATCTTTCCAGAACCTTATACTAGCTCATATTTCAAATGTCTAGAGGTATTCATTCGAGTTTGTATCTCCCTGCAATGGGTGCTCAGAGGCCCAATGTTTTTTTTAACCAACAATGACAAAAATAGTTCACATTTCTGTAACATCTTTTCCATAAATTCTCTGCAAAATGCATAGTACAGATATTATTTTCCTCATAGCAAGTGAGCAGTATGTGTCAGAGCTCAGACTTAAACCCATTATCATTGCTGTTTTTTAAGTCCAGGACTTTTTATACTACACCATTGACCCCAATAACATGGATATCCAACCCCATAGTACAGATACCAATCCATACCAGCTTGTCTTTCCTGTATGACTCTTTTCCATACTGTCCTACAAATCTGCCATGGCCACTAGGTTGGGAGCATGCATCCAGCACTCCCTTTGACCTTTTGACCTTTTGTTCATTATAATAATAATCAACTGTAAAAGACTTAGCTACTCTGATCAGAACAATGTTGTTGTTCAGTCATTTTTCAGTCTGACTCTTTGTGACTCCATTTGGGGGTTTTCTTGGCAAAGATACTGGAGTGCTTTGCTATTTTCTTCTCTAGATTTTTATAGAGGAGGAAACTGAGGCAAACAGGGTTAAGTGACTTGCCCAGGGTCTCACAGCTAATAAACGTCTGAGACCAGATTTGAACTCAGGAAGAGTTCTACCCACTGTGCCACCTAGCCACCTGTGATTAATACAATTATCCATGACAATTTCAAAGAACACATGATAGAAAATGCTATCCATCTTGAGAGAGAGAACTGATGAACTCTGAATGTAGATTGAAGCATTTTTTTACTTTCTTTATTTTTCTTGCTTTTTAAATTCTGTGCAACATGGCTAATGTGAAAATGTGTTTTATATGACTTCATGCGTATAATGGATGGGAGAGAAAGGGTGTGGAGAGAGGGAGAGAATTTGAAACTGAAAACAAAAAAAGGAATGTGAGTTAAAAAATGTTCCTCTTCCCTTCTCCAGTGCCTGACGTACAGATATTTAATAAATGCTTTTTGATTGATTAGTTGAAGATCCTTTGTAGAAACTGTTCCAAATGCTAAGCTCAGCACACTCACTTTGGCTTATAGTTTTTTTTTAAAATTTATTGCAATAGTAGCTTCTGAGTCACAGGTCACCCAGTTCATCAATATTTGGCTGTGGGGTTGACAATTTTCCCCACAAATAAGTGCTGGTGAATGTTTGTATCCATAAGGGACATAAAGAAGGGCCTGTTGAAATTTACGATGACAGGGGGAGCCGCTATATTGCGCTGGATTTCAATGTCTGTGACAGCAGCTGCCACGGTGCCATTTTCGTTCACCTCAAGCGCTGCCTTGTGTAACACCTAGTAGAGGAAAGGTACACACTGTCACTCTGGGTAACAATTAACCTGACATAGCTGAAAGCAAGCCTCTCACTGAGTACCCGGGTTAACATTATACAAGGGCAGAATAGGAAGGAGTAAGTCTATTTGGGATTTCCAGAACATGGGGCAAGTCCTCATCAACTTGTTACCATAGACTTGAAATTCATAGGAGGCGTAACTAGAAGGGACCCAAAGGGACTCCAAAGAACATCTGATGATACAGATGTGGACGCAGAAACTCAGAAGGGAAATGTCATTTTTATAAGGTCACTCAGGTGATGAGTCCCGGAGTCAGTATTTGAACAAAACCATTCATTCAGCAGCTAGATGGTGCAGTGGTTAGTGTGCCAGGCCTGGAATCAGGAAGATTCATCTTCCTGAATTCAAATCCGGTGTCAGACACTTACTAACTTTGTGACCTTGGGCAAGTCACTTAACCCTGTTTGCCTCAATTTCATTATCATCGTAAATTGATCTGGAGAGGGAAATGGCAAACCACTCCAAATCTTTGGCCAGAAACCCCAAAATGGGATCATGAAGAGTCAGACATAACTGAAACGACTGAAGAACAAAAATTCATTCCATCATTGAAGATGTCTTTTGAAAATGTAAATCTTCTTGGGATTAATTCTGGGTGGATTTAAGCAATTACTAGAGATTGGGATGAGGAAAGAGAGTACTGGAAGCCTGAATATTTGAAGGATGCTGGAGGAACCACAGAGAAGGAAACAAGCCCATTATGGAAAAGCTAAGGTTACAAAAGACAGCTGTTTTTATTTCATAGTATGGGGAGGTCTAGTCCTAAAGATCATTTCCAAGAAACAAGTGGTAAAAAGAAAAAGAGAGAAGCAAGGGGTTGTACTTTAAAATAGAATAGAATAGAATGAGTAGAAATTTAGTAAGATAGAATCTAATGAAGTTTAGAGATCCTCTATTTCAGTTTTCTCCTTTTGCTTATGTGAACACTTAGGGCCAGAGGGATAAAACCTGCCCAAGGAACCAGAAGTACAGGTTGTGTAAAGCATTTGGTTTCTTTTCTTTTTTTTTTCCTTTGGGCAAAGTAATTGGAGTTAAGTGACTTGCCCAGGGGCACACAGCTAGTAAATGTCAAGTGACTGGTCTGAGACTAGATTTGAACTCAGGTCCTCCTGACTCCAAGGCCAGAGCTCTATCCACTGTGCCATATAGCTGCCCCAAGCATTTGGTTCTTCAGGCTATGTTTGAGAATTGAACCCCCTCTACACACAAGCTATGAAACTGTCTCTATAGGGGTTCCTAACTGGAGTCTTTGAATTTGTTTTTAAAAAATGTATTGTTAACTCTTTTTTAATATAATTACTTTCCTTTGCAATCCAATGCATTTTATTTTATGCATTTGAAAACATTATTCTGAGGAGGCCATAGCCTTCACCAGAGGGAATGCAAAGATACAAATGTACAGAAAAGGTGGCTATTGATCTAGAAGCTTTGAACTTTTACTCCTGCACATGCATCTTGATTTAACACTCCCTTTGTTGTTATTTGTAGCCACTTCAGTCATGTCTGACTCTTCTGACCCCATTTGGGCTTTTCTTGGCAAAGATTCTGGAGTGGTTTGCCATTTCTTTCGCCAGCTCATTTTACAGATGAGGAAACTGAGGCGACCAGGGTTAAGTGACTTGTCCAGGGGCACACACCTAGTAAGTGAGGTGAGATTTGAACTCACGAAGATGAGTCTTCCTGCCTCTATCCCCTGTGTCACCTAGCTGTTCCATTACCAAACCTATACTTGATATTTTCCAGCTTTGTAGGACCTGCCAGAGCTTGTGTTCCCCTGGCATAACCTTTAAGAACTTAGAGTTATCTATATAACCCAAACTGGCATCAAAAGAGGAATTTAAGGAGTTGTGACAGAATGATATCCACATATCCAATACATTGCCTAGTCCTATTGTACATGTAAGTTCTATTTACGCATTTTTTTCGTTTTAAAAAAGTTGGTGTACTTCAGTAAGGTTAGAGTATCCCTCAGAAATAAAGTCACAGAGTTGACGTACTTACCTTGGAAACTTGTAGTTTGAATTCTGTGGAGATGCCTGTGAGGTCTGCGTTGTCAGTGAATATGTCTCTTATGCCGATTTTTGGAAGCAGGTGTTCAAGATCATAACTTGTGGAGATTGAGATCCGGGGCAGATAAATATCCACCTTCCTGTTGGAAAAGAGACCCAGGAGGAGCTGGAATGTGCCACTTTGCTTGCTGATTGCTAAATGATTCAGCTTCCCAAAGCTATGGACTCAATGGACCTTTTGGTTGTTGTTCTGACTGACTTTTTGTGAGCCCATTTGGGGTTTTCTTGGCAGAGATACTAGAGTGGTTTGCCATTTTCTTCTCCAGCTCATTTTACAGATGAGGAAACTGAAGCAAACAATGTTAAGTGACTTGCCCACGGTCACACAGCTAGTAAGTGTCTGAGGCTGGATTGAACTCAAGATTAGTCTTTCCGACTCCAAGCCCAGTGCTCTCTCCATCGTGCCACCTCGCTGCCCATACGATGACTTCACTAACAGCTTAACCATAGCTTACTGCTGCCCCACAAAGCAAGGCATAGAAAGCAAAAATCCTTCCTGTTGCAATCATGGTTAAATTCTACATTGTCTTCAGTCCTGAGGGAAGGTAGCGAAAGATCTGTAGGCCTACCTCAGCAGAGCTAGGAAACATATAAACCTGGGGTACCAAGATTATGGGCAGCTAGGTGACACAATGGATAAAGCCCTGGGACTAGAATCAGGAAGATCTGAGTTCAAATTTGGTCTCAAACACTTCCTCGCTGTGTGACCCTGGGCAAGTCACTTAACCCTGTTTGTCTCAGTGTCCTCATCTGTAAAATGAACTGGAGAAGGAAATGGCAAAACACTCCAGTATATTTGCCAAGAAAACCCCAAATGGGGTCATAAAGAGTTGGACCTGACTGAAAAATGACTGAACAACAACACCAAGACTATAAGATCCTTGCAGATGGAGACTGCCTTTTCTACTCATCCTTCAAAGCACTACAGAATATCAGAACTAAAAGGGACCTTAAAGGTCATATTAATCCAACCTGTACCTGGACTGAAGTCTGCTCTAATCCTTTTATAGGTCATCCCCAACAAGTGGTAGAACTATTATAGGGCTTAACTGGTGTGTGTGTGTGCTTAAAATTGGTGATCTTGTTTAAAACATATTTTGAAAACTGTATTTCAATAGAATTAGTTTTCTTTCTAATCCAATGTACTTTATTTTAGGCATTTAAAAACATTATTCTGAGAAAGGGTCCATAGGCTTCACCAGATGGCCAAAGGGGTCCAGGAATTGAACCCCCCCCAAAAAAAAACCCCAAAACTAAAAAAAACCCCACGAATGGGTTAAGAACCCCTGCTCTATAGGGTGTCCTCTTGTCTGGGTTATTGTAGCATGAATTCCTATTCAGAGCTTAACTGGAATAGATGGCCTTTGTTTGAGGTTCTTCCGGTTCTGAGATCCTGGAGTTGTTTGGTCTCCTAGTAGCTTCTCCTTGAAGATTTCCTATTGTGGGGGAGGAAGGCACTGTCTCTCGGAACAGCCTTTTGGATAGATCCAGTTGAGCCCAAACCTGCCTCCCAGAGCTTTGCTGGTCACAGGAACATCCAATAGCCACTTTTTGATTGATTAGAAGCATCTACATTAAATCCAAGTTAAGCCCCTTGCAGAAGTGAAAAAGCACTCCTGGTAATGACACCATCTTAGTCATAGAATTTTTTTTTAATTGTCACCTTTTAAATTCTTGCAAATTGAAACTTTCCTTTTTTATATGGACTCAATAACTTTACTTTCAGGTTTGTGAAGCCTTAGGAAGAGCAAGTATGATCCCATTTTACACATATGGAACAAGAAGCCTAATGTCACACTGGTGGAAGTGTAGATGAGGGGTTTAATCTCAGCATCTCTGATTTTTTTTTCCCACAGTGCCACACTGCTTCTTATTAAAACCTGCTGGGATGGCAGCTGCTATTTATATGTGTGGTCAATACAGTCTCTGTAAGCATCCTGCGTATTTGTGTGCTTTACTCGCCTGCTCATACCCCAAGGGAGGCACTGTGGTGCAGCAGAAGGAGTTCTGGATTTAGAGTCAGAGGTCTTGGGTTTGAATCTTGGCTCTGCTACTTACTACCTATACCTGACCTTAGGAAAGTCTCTTCTCCATTGGCCTCAGTTTCTTCATCTGTAAAACAATGGAGTTGAACTAGATTAACTTTAAAATACCTTCTGGCTCTCATTCCGTGCTACATATATTTCAGACAAAATAAAACTATTAGTTACCTGTGACATCATTGTTGGTTGTGAATTCCTTTTATTTTTATTTTTTTAAATTTTTAGGCAATTGGGGTTAAGTGACTTGCCCAGGGTCACACAGCTAGTAAGTGTCAAGTGTTGGGTCTGAGGCCATATTTGAACTCAGGTCCTCCTGACTTCAGGGCGGTGCTCTATCCACTGTGCCACCTAGCTGCTCCCATGAATTCCTTTTATAAAGGCAGTTAAATTATAGTCTAGTAGAAAAAGCTAAGGCAAGAGAAAATTTATGTTCAAGAACCAGATCTTTCACCAAGTATATAGTTGTGTGACCTACGGCAAATAACTTTACCTCTTGACCTTGGTTTTTATTTTTCAAGTGAGGATATTATTCTATCTACTTCACAGAGTGAGTGTGAAGACATTATAATAGCTGACATTTATGCTGTAATTTAAAATTCGCAAAGTGCTTTACATACATCATCACATTTGGTTCTCACAGCAACCGTGGAAGGTCAGATATATGGTTATTTTACAAAGAAGAAAACTAAAACTCAGAGATGTAAGTGACTTGCCCATAGCTATACCAATAGTAAGTGCTAGAAGAAGAATTTGAACCCAAGTCCCTCCTAACTCCAAATCTGCTTATTTTTCCTCTTTGAAACCCCTCTGTACAGTTTAAAACCTGTTACAAATTCAAATGTTCACTATTATAACTCCTTAAGAAAAAGCACACGAGACCCAAAGGCAATTGTAAAGGCTTTTGGCAGACAGGAGTCTACGCCATATTTTTTACTATGGTGGCATCTCACCAAAGGTATGTATAGCTGGAAAAGTGAGTGAATCAGTCATAGAGCAAGAGTTAAGAATAACAGGTGGGAAGCCTAATGGTTGCACTGTTTTACCCAAAATGTTCAAAGAACAGGAGAAAAGGCCTCTAGTGAGTTGCTGGATCGTTTATGGAAGATTTGCAGAAATATATGGACAGCACTTGCGTGGGATGAGAAGGAATGGATGATTTCAGTCTGTAGCAGTACAGGGAGGACCTACACCTGTGGAATTAGTCAGAGCACAGGATTCTGAGTCAGACCTGTGTTCAAGTCCTGACTTTGATACTTAGAAGCTGTGGGTCCTCAGGCAAGTCACTTCTCTGCTCTGGGACATTGTCTCTTCCAGTTCTAAAAGCATTATTGTGAGAATCAAGTGGGTAATGTATATAAAATATATCACAAGCTAGAAATCCTCAGTATACTCTACACTATCCTCTATACTCTGATTCCTTATCCTTGTCTTATCATATTGATCATACCTTGCCAACCCTAACCTTGGATTACACCCACTGTCTACCACTTTCGTTCCTCAACATGTGTTGAGGAGTTCAGTAACATTAGAGAAAATTACCTTCTGATTGAGTCCACTACAGATTTATGTTATATAATCTTTACAGGGCCCTCACTGCAGCAAGGCAATACTTTTATACTTTTTTTCACCACAATGGCTATACCAACCTTTTCATCTTTCCTCTGAGCTTCCTCTAATACCCTGTCCCCAACCTTCTAAGTGAGGACCTTATCTCATACTTCACTGAAAAAACTAAAGCCATTTGACAAGGGTTCCCTCTTATTCCCTCCTCCTCCTCATCTTGCATCACTCCTCCATTATCTCCTCCTTCACCTCTATTTCACACGAAGAGGTGACCCTTCTGCTTGCCAAGGAAAACCCTTTTATTTGCACAAGTGATTTCATTCCATCCCATCTTCTTCAGAAAATTGCTCCCTCTATCATCTCCACTTTTCCACTAATCTTTTATTTCTTCCTATCTATTGGCTGCTTCCCTGCTGCCTCCAGGCATGCCCAGTCTCCTTCACCTTAAAAAACCAAAACTCGATCCCACCATTCCTGCTAGGTATTGCCCTATAGCTCTCCTCTTATAGACTAAACTCTCTGAGGAAGCCCTCTACAATTTGTGCTTCCACTTCCTTTCTTCTCACTTTCTGCAGTCTGGCTTTCAACCTCATCATTCAACTGAAACTGCTCTCTTCAAAGTCACCCACGATTTCTTAATTGCCAAATCTAATGACCTTTTTTCAGTCCGCATCCTTTTTGGCCTTTCTGAAACCTTTGCTATGGTTACCTTTTCCCTACGGATACTCTCTTCTCTTTAGATTTTTGTGACACTGCTCTCTCCTAGTTCTCCTCCTACCTGCCTGGCCATTCTTTTTCAATATCCTTCCCTAGTTCTTCATCTAGGGCATGCCTACTCGTGGTGAGTGAATGTCCTCTAAGGCATTGTCATGGGTCCTCTCCTCTTTCCCCTCTATAGTATCTTATTTGGAGATCTCATCAACTCCCATGGCTTCAATGATCATCTCTAAGTAGTCTATTTTAAATCTATATAGCCAATCTCTCCTAGTTTTACATCACCAACTATTCTTGCATATCTTGAACTAGATGTCCCATATGTATTTCACACTCAACATGCCTACACTTAACTCATTGTATTTCCCTCTCCTTTCTCAACTTTTCTGTTACTGTCGAGGACACCCCCACCCTTCCAGTAATCTAGTTTCATCACCTCAGAGTCATTCTTAATTCTTTTCTTACACTCACTCCACATATCAAGCCATTGCCAAGTCTTATTGTTTCATTGTTATTGTTGTCGTTCATTTGTTTTAGTCATGTCCAACTCTTTTTTTTTTAAGGCAATTCTGGTTAAGTGAATTGCCCAGGGTCACACAGCTAGTAAGTGTCAAGTGTTTGGTGTGAAGCCGGATTTGAACTCAGGTCCTCCTGACTTCAGGACCACTCCTCTATCCGCTGCATCACCTAACTGCCCTTATGTCCAACTCTTTGTGACTCCATTTGGAGTTTTCTTGGCAAGATACTGGAATGGTTTGCCATTTCCTCCTCCAGGTCATTTTACAGATGAGGAAAATGAGGTAAAAAGGATTAAATAACTTGACCAGAGTCACACAACTCGTAAGTTTCTGAGGCTGGATTTGAGTCAGGTCTTCTTGACTCCAGGCCCCGAGCTCTGTTCACTGTGCCACCTAGCTGCCCTCTCCCTTCAACACATCTCTTCTATTTGTCCTCTTCTCTCCATTCACACAGTTGCTGCTTTAGTGTGAGCTCATACCACTTCACACCTGGACTGTTGCAATAGCTTGTTGGTCGGTCTCTTTGCCTCAAGTTTCTCACCACTCCAGTTTATTCTTCACACAAATGCCAATGTAATCTTAAGGAATCATGCCATTCCCAGTTCCCCACATAACAAATTCCCATGGCTACCTATTACTTTCAGGATCAAATATAAAATCCTCTGGTTTTTAAAGTCTTTCACAACCTAGCCCCTTCCTACCTTTTCAGTCTTCTTACACTTGACTCCCCTCCATATACTTTGTAATTCACAAGCACTGGTCTTCTTGACACTCCTCCTGACTGCCTTTTCACTGGCTCTCTCCTGTGTCTGGGATGCTCTACCTCCTTGTCTCCACCTCCTGGCTTCCCTTTTGCCAAGACTCAGTTGACATCTCATCTTCTGCAAGATAACTTTCCTGGTGCCCTCTTCTCTTCCAACTGCTAGTGTTTTTCCTCTTGGTTTATCTCCCATTTATACTATGTATATCTCATGTATACATAGTTGATTTTATGTTGTCTCTACCATTAAAACGTGAGGGCAGGGACTGTGTTTTTTTGCCTTCCTTTGTATATTTAGTATTTATCATAGTGTTTGGCATGAAATAAACACTTAACAACTTAGCTTGCAACATGTCTGCTTGATTATAGCTGTTAGCTATTAGCATTCCTATGACCATACCTTTTTTCCAAAAACCTAGAACGTGATATTCCTTTTCCAGAGATTATAGCATCCAGTGCCTGCTCCAATTTGCCTTCATCTGGTAGAACTAAAATTAAGCAGGCATTCCCCTCATAGGGCAGGATGACCATTGAAGAGAACAGCTCATCATCACGGTGATAGTACAGTTTTTCCCTTTTCATCATCATTGGCACTTGTACTGTTGTGTTCTTATCTACATGAAAGTCTTGCAGCTCAGTAAGGGTGGAATTAAAAGAGGTCTCCCAATTTCCTGAAGAAACAACAAAGAACAAATCATTGTGTACCCTTGTGAATTGGGAATGTTGAGTGCTGGAGTATATAGTTAGTATTCAACTGAGTTCAAAGAATACATTTTTATTGAGTGCCTACCATTCATTGGACTACCAGCCTAAAGAGAATCCTGTGTTAGGCCCTGGAGGAGATGAAATGCCTCATGGAGATTACAATCTAATAGAGTAGACAGGACATACCTAACCATAGAAATAACTCCATGCAGAACATGTCTCAATAAGAGCATAGAAAAAGTGCCATTAAATACTCTTTGAGGCTGCCAGTTTATACTGTGTGGATCAAAGAAAGCTCCCTGGAAGAGGTAGTATCTGAGCTGGATCTTAAAGAAGGTATGGAATTTTTGTGTATAGAGATGTGGGGGGAGGCCTTCCAGACTGAGAAGACGGAATGAACAAACAAAAGCATGAAGTATCTAAGTGATTCATTTTGGTTACAGCTTAGAGGAGATAGAGGAGAAGAGAGTGAAATGAGGTCATAAAGGCAGGCTGGAGCAAGAATGGAAGGGCTGCCTTAAGAAATAGGGCTTAGGGACAACTTGTGCTTTCTTGCCAAATTGCTTTTTCCCTTTCTGATTGGCCAGTTGTGCTAGCTTGTCTGTTCTGTATCTATTACTTTGAGTTTAGATCTCATTAACCTACCGTAAATCATGCTGGCCTGAAGAAATACATTTTATTTAAAGTTTATAAGTAAGGACAAATTAAGGGAGTGTTCCTTATTCTAGGAGGATGACCATTTGAATGGTGGCTTGGAGCCAGCTGGAGGAAGAACCAAGCCTATTATGTTGAGGTAATGTAATTAGTGCTCAATGAAATATCATGTCTCAAAAGAGCTTAGCTAGTGGATGTGGGTTATTCTATTGGGTAGCTATGCAAGTCAAATTATTCCTAGATGATAAGTGGTACTTGCCTATAGAGAGAGGCAGAGCTGAGGGATACAAGATCGACGACTCTCTGAAAACCATAGAGCCCACAGCATTGACTCAGTACTTGCCTCCTTGTTGGGCATGCACAAAACCACTAGGGTGGGTATAAGACCCACTGAATAGCTTTGAGGGCCAAACCTTTAGTATAAAATGTACTCTACCTTGGAATACAATGCTCCCTGTAAACTTTTTCCTACCCACTTTTCAAGCATTATTTAATATTATTCCCCTTCATACACTCTATTCTAACCAAAATGAGTTGCTAGCTTTTCCTCAAACTCAGTATTCCAACTTCTGCTTCCACGCCTCATTCATTCCCATGTCACCTTTACTTCTCAGAATTTTAGCTTCTGCCAATGGTCACTTCAGGCACAGCCTCCCGTGGGAACTTTTCCTCCGTCTTTAATGCTTTCTCCTTCAAATAGCTCATTTTATATTTGTTTACATGTCATACCCCCCATCAGACTATAAGTTCTTTGAGAACAGGGTCTGTTTTTCAAAATTAATACTGTGTCCTGCATGTAGTAATACTTATTGCATGTTCACTGGATTGAACTGAAGATTGTGAAAATAAAATTAAATTAGAATAGGCTTTTCTTTGATAAATAAAATATTTATGTAGGCCTAGATCCTATGTAGGTTTGGTGTCTCCATAAAGGATAATCTTATGATGCTGTAGGGAGTCATGGAGAGATGTGACTCTTGGTTGGCTGAGATATTATTGAGAGAGAAGAGAAAAGGGAGAGGATGCCAGGTACAGATTCTGAATGGTGAGCAGCAGACCCCCAGAGGCCACATTCATATGGGGGAAAGCCAGTACCTTAATATTTCTCTTGATTCCTAGAGCTTTCATTCCCTAGAGACTGGTAAGTGTAGACTCACTGGGTGAGATTGTTCTTACCCAGCTGAAGTTTCATCTAACTCATGGGTCATAATGCCTCTTAACTTGAGTATTCTATTGCCTAAATGCATCTACATGGCTTCCCTGATTACTATTTTACTTATTTGCTTTGATAAATAAGTTTGCTTGGTACTCAGGATTGTGTTTTGTGTAATAAGTATGTGGTGGTATGGCTCAGCTGGATGATATTAAACTAACCTGGAGTTACCCTCCAGGTGTGAGGTGGAGCTTCTCTCTCTCTCTCTCTCTCTCTCTCTCTCTCTCTCTCTCTCTCTCTCTCTCTCTCTCTCTCTCTCTCCCTCTCTCTGTCTCTGTGTCTCTGTCTCTGTCTCTTTGTGTGTCTCTGTCTCTGTCTCTCTGTCTCTCTCTCTCCTGCCATCTCCTGCACTTACCCATGTAACAGAGGCATACATGAGAGAAAAAAAATGTTAGTTTGACCAGGTAAAGTAGCTTTTCTCCTGAACCCCCAAAAGAATCCTTCCTCTCTGCTTCAAATAGCTGATGTATAACAAATAGATAAAACTCCCCTTGACAACAGGAGATTGAGGGAGTGATCACTCAACTATGGCCACCCTCCAACACCCTACAAAGGTAGAACTGCAGTCTCCCTGGAGTTGTGTGATATTTCTATATCTACTCTAAATATTCATGTTACAGTAGGCTGCAAATTCTTTGTTATAGTTAAAAACAAAATCCCACCCAAACCCCCCAAAATCACAAAGATTAGTGACTATTCATTTCGGGAAGAGATTTTTCAGCTTTACAGAGTCATTCATTCTAAGTTATCTTTAAATAGTGAGCTTTACCATATGACATGAATATATCCACCACAATGTAGAAGTACAGGATTTAGAACTGTAAATGATCTTGAAAATGTGGCCTCATTTTCCAGAGGAGAAAACTGAGTCCCATAAAGGTAAAGTGATTTGCCCATAGTCACTGCAGGAAGTATGCAGTATTGCCAGGATTTGAACCTATATCCTCTGTGTCCAAACTCAGGACTATTTCAACCATGTTATGCTATAGCTCCTGAATAAAACAAAGGTTATCAGACAGACACAGAAACTTAAGCTAAAGCATTAGGTGTCTTGGCCCATTAGAGTCAATCTGGAAGAAAATTTAATTAAAAAATGATTAAAATAGTTGATCTGAAATTAAACACATTAACTCATAAAGATGCTATAGATTAACAGGAAAATTTCATTTATAATCATTTGATTTATATGCAGTTTTCAAGAACCGAGCTATATTAAGTAACTTGAGATACAAGCATATTCAAAATTGGGAACATGAAGGAAATGCTGATGTATACATACAAGAAGTCTTACCCTTAAAAAAAATGTGGTTTATGAGAACCATTAACGTGGCAGGGTCTAGATGCGTGATTAATTCTGGAATTTTTCCATGTGTTTTCTCATTTACATAATCATTAATCTGCTTCTTAGCACCTTCAGAATCTTTGAAGTTTGCAGCAAACACTTCGGCTCCATATAAGTTCTTGACATCATCTAAGAACTTTTGGAGTGGTTCCAGCTGATCATTAATAAAGAGGCCATTGCCACTTTCCAGCTGAACTTTGCCTTCTGTGTTGTTCAGTAGATGGACAAGATCTTGGAAACCTTTGTGGATCTCCCTTTCCTGAAGCTCTGTGAGATTAAAACCCAGCCCCTCCAAAAGGTTAGTTAGGGTGGCCGATTTGGCCCCCAGAGAGAGCATAGCAAAGGCAGTGGCAATGCTCACAGGAGAGAAGAAGATATTCTTGTGAGGATTTTCAGAAACCAACAGCTTTAACAATCTTCCAGTGAATTCTGAATTTGCAGGCCTTATTTTGTGATAGGCCAGTCCAGGGTTGGCCTGAGGACTCTGCTCTTTAGTGTCAGATTGGCAGAAAATAGCTTTTGGAATCCAGGCCACCAGCAGGAGCAGGTAGAGGAGCAGCTGCATTTTCCTTAGAAACGTTTCTAAAATAAGTTAAAAGAGATAATAACATTATGGTGTTGGTTAAAATGTCTGGCTTATGTAACTTGGAGGTCTGTGACTGAACTCTGTGCAATGTAAATGCATGCATTTTGTTGATTTACTGGCCAAGACTGAGTGCTAAAGAAAAGAGAAACTGCGTCTGAAATTGTGGATAGTTAATTCTTAAGAAAAGAGATGGAGACAGAGATGTATTTAGGATGGAATGGTTGGGGCTTTGTCTCTGACACCAGTATCTGAGGGGGCAGTTCTTCCTTCCTGTTATAGTCTGGAGTCATGTCTTGCCATCTCATGCCACTAGGGAATTGGGGTGGAGTGGCTTCAGGAGGGGGTTGAGAGTGTGTATTGGTAAATATTTAACAACTAGCTGTGTAAGAAAAAAAAGTATGCAGGACACACTTTAAAAATGGCATTTTAAATGGCATTGCTAATATTTTCTCCACCAATTTCTTAAGTCTGGATAGTCAACAAAATAATAAATCAGCTTCTGATTTGTAGTATTTACTAATTTCCAAGGATTAAATGCTCACATTGAAAGACTATATATATGGGATAGTGTCAGGAAACTCCTGGGAACCAGAATCGCCCATAGTGAATGCTGGGGCAGGGAAGAATGGAGACAGATATGGAGGACACTTCTGTGTTCTCCAAATGCCAGGAAATAGGGGCTGGGCTTTTCTGGGGGATGTAGAAAGACTTTCTTTCTTTCTTTCTTTCTTTCTTTCTTTCTTTCTTTCTTTCTTTCTTTCTTTCTTTCTTTTTCAAGTCAATTTAATTTAATTACAATTTTTTTTTAGTTTTCAACTTTCAGTTTTAAAAGATTTTGAGTTCTAATTTTTTTTCTCCCTTCCTCCCCTTCCCCCTCCCCAAGATGGTATGCAATCTGATATAGGCTATACATGTACAATAGAAATACATTTCTTAATCAGGTGCTGCATAGAGGCCTTTTGTTTTTGTAGTTCAGTCATTTTCAGTCATGTCTGACTCCCCATGACCTCTTTTCGGGGTTTTCTTGGAGAGGATATTGGAATGGTTTGCCATGTCCTTCTCCAGCTCATTTTACAGATGAGGAAACTGAGGCAAGCAGGGTTAAGCTATTAAGTATCTGAGATCATATTTGAACTCAGTTGTTCTCCTGAACTCCAGGCCCAGTACTCTATCCAATGACCACCTCTCTGCCCCCAAGCAGAGGCCTAGGCAGGATATGATAGCCCAGAGAGATCATAGTAAGGGAATCTTAGCAATCATTGAGCTCAACTGCTTCATTATATAGTTCAGAAAACTGAGGCTCGCACACATGTGAAGTAGCTTATCTAAGGTCATAAAGGCAGTAAATAGTAAGTGACAAAGCTGGGATTTGAAACTACATCCTTTGACTCCAAATCCAGGCCTTGTTGACGTCCATACCAGCTTAAGGACCAACGTTGAGCTGCAGACCCCTCTCCTTATCCCATTAGCCTGTGGAGACAGGGGCTACCTCGAAGCATGAGGGAATATGGGAAAAGGGGAAACAATTCAAGAAGGCAAGCCTGGGAAAGGGAGACGGTGTCTCAGGCCATGTCTTCCTTTGGAAGCCTCTGCCTCACTTATGCCAGGGACCTTCATTTCCTTCAGAGTTTTGTGCTGCCAAGCTTCTCAGACTGGTTGCTGTTTTGTCATTTAGTTATGTCTGACTCTTTGTGACCCCATGGACTTGCCCATGGGATTTTCTTGGGATACCTTCTTCAGTGTGTCCATGTTTTACAGATAAGAAACTGAATCAAATAGGGGTTAAATGACTTGCCCAGGATCACATAGCTATTAAGTGCCTGAGGCTAAATTTGAACTCAGATCTTCCTGACTCCAGGCCCGGTGCTTTATCCACTACCTCATCTAGCTGCCCTTGGTAGAGAGAGGACTGGCCTGGAATGGGGATGGAAGGGAAAGGAATAAACATTTATATAGTGCCTGCTAGATGCCAGGCACAGGGTTAAGTGTGACAAATGTCTCATTTTGATCCTCACAGCAACTCTGGGAGGTAGGTGCTGTTATTATCCTCATTTGACAGTTAAGATAACTGAGGCAAACTGAGGTTGAGTGACTTGCCCATTTTATAGCTAGTAAGTGTTTGAAGCCATATGTAAACCCAGATCTTCCTGACTCCAGGTTCAGTGCTCTGTACACCGCGCCCCCTAGTTGCCTCAATGGATGGAGAGCTACTGAAGAGGTACTGAGCTGAACAGGATACATTTCAGGGCAGACCGGAGTGTTTGATAAGATATCAATGTATCTGTGGAAGTAACTGAGTCCCAGAACAAAGGATAAGGTAGAGGGGCAAACTGTGGGGGCAGTGCTGATGTCCTTGCAAAGGGGGCTGGTTGATGCCAACCCCTAGGATTGTTGTAAAGAAAGGTTTCTGAGGGAGAAAAGTAGAGGGAGAATCTGGAGTTGACAGTGAGGAGCAAGTAGTATTTCTCCTTCTCCTGACCCAGTGTAGCAGGAGGCCTGAGAGAAAGAACACATAATTCCAGAGAGTAGCCAAGGATGCGGTATCTTTCAAGTGGAGTCAGGCAGTGACCTGCTGGGATCTGGCTTACCTGGTGTCAAGAGCCAATTGTTAAATTTACCTCAGAAATCAGCAAATGCTACAAATCAGGGGTTAAGGGTTTTTTTTTTTGGTGGTTATTGTTGATTGTCTGGTCATAAGATAGAGATGGAGAAAATTCTAATAATTCAAGTTAAACTGAAAGTGTGTTCTAAGCACATTTTTTTAAAGAGAGCTCGTTGTTAAACATTTAATAGCATACTCCTGGATCCAAGTTTCTATAAGTGCAAGAAGATGTATTAGTATGTATAGTATAATATGAGGTCATGGCCTAAAGTGAAGGAAATTTTGTTCATGGTAGAATAGGGCTTCCAGAAGGTACTGAAAGGGGAAGGGACAGCAGGGTAGGACTGAGGTGGATGGGGATGAGGAATTAGGGCCTGGTAGCGTGGGAAGGGAATTTTTGCTTGGGCAGCCTGAGATACCAAATCACAGGGACTCAGAATGAGAAGAGACTCTGTGAATCTAAGACAGTGGCCACAGTTCCCTTGTGCCTTAGCTGCCCCAGGTGCCAGAATTCCTAGTTAAAACTCTGGATAAAGGATAGAGGTCAGGGGTAAGGGTTAAAATTTAAGCAAAATTGTTACATTGCTGTTAGGAAGGCTTATCTTTTATCTTGTCCATTATACTCCAAAGTACACTGACCCCTTGTTTTCTTTCCTTCCATGTTTATTTGAAATCTGTTCTCAGAGGATTCTCATTCATTGAGGTTCAAATAACTGGAAATAACTTGTGTGACCCCCCCAAGTGGATTTTTAATCAAAATCAAACAATCAATTGACAATCAATCAATAAAAATCCAAGCTAAAGAGATGAACCTGTAAAAATGAAATTGCAAGTGCTTCACTCAGTGATCTCTAACACGCCTTCTAAGTCTACAAGTCTATGATTCTATCCTCAGGCAAAATGTGGTCAATATTTAACCAGCAAAAGAAAGAAGTTGGTGTCCTGATCCATAGAAAGAAAAAGGGGGATGGTTCTCCCTTTTAGAACTTGGCATCCTAAATTTGGTGTGGGACAAAAAATAAAACAAAAAAATACTGTTACTACTGATAATATGGATGCCACGTATGTACCTATGCCCTTCAGCCAAAGGTATCGTATCTCTTTGTGTAATGCTAGTCAAAATTAACTTGGAGATAGCCCAATACCACTCTGGAATCATTCCAATTAACCAAGGAAGTCAGAACTAGGTTAGTGCTTAAAGTCCCATTAAGGAAGAAGGAGGAGACTGTTCTATGGAGAATAATGAAGCCTCTCACTGTCTGATGGGATCTTCTTGTCTACATATAGACCTGAATATTTGAGGTGGAAGGGTCCCTAGACTGGCTTTAGTCAAACTTCGTCATCTTTCAGAGGAGAAATCTGTGTTTTAGAGAGACAAAATAATTTGCCCAAGTTTGGAAAAAGAGTTATTGAAAGAGCTGGAACTAGAAAGACCAGTGCAATGATTTTCCTCCAGAACTGTTTTGCAGAAAGGATCCTCAAAAGAAAACAACCACCCAGCTAAACTTAGATAAGGAAATTAAAGCTCATGAGGTTATGTTACTGTCTAAACTATACCAACTGTTATTTAAATTTTTGATTATGGCTCAGAATGAAAATAATGTAATCAGAGTTAGAAGAGGCTTGAGAAAGAGTTCATCTAGTCCAGGTATACAGCCTGAGGTCTGTATAGTTGTTTTTTAAAAAACAAAAAGCAAAAACAAAAACAAACTTGGATAACTATGTTCCGACAGAATTGATTTTCTTTGTAATCTTAGTATTTTACTTTATGCATTTAAATATGTTGTTCTGAGAAAGGGCCTATAATTTTCACCAAACTGCCAAAGGAGTCCATGACACAAAAAGGGTTAAAAAGTCCTGATCTAGGCCAACCTCTATTCAAATCATAAGTTGTTTACAATGTCCTTGATGAATGGTCATCCGTTTTCTGCTTAAATACCTTCACTAAAGAAGAACTCATTATTTCCCAAGGCACGCTATTTCATTTCGGGGTTTCCTGTATATAAACTTATTTTAATGTTGAATTGAAATTTGCCCTCACGTAAAAGGGGAGGGAGCCAAAATGCTCCCTTCACTCTCTTTTGGGACTAGGCCTAAATTTGGAAGTCTTGTCCACCAAGAAAGTACTGACTGGCATTGGAGATAATATATTTTCAAGCATCGCAGGTATTAGCAATGTATGGCTCATGATGAATGACACAAGTGCTTCTTGTAACTCACCCACTGCTCTACCATCTACCTCTGATTTTTTTCTCTCCCTCCACTTTCTTTTCACATTTCTTGTTTCTGTTTTTTTTTCTTTCTATTCTCTTGCTTCCTTTTTTTTTTGCCTCTTTGTTTCCCTCTCTTAGTGCTTATGTTCATTTGTACTATCCACAGACTTAGTCCCCAAAAGCAATCACTGGCCTCTGGTATATGACAGCCAATGGTGTATTTTCATAGCCCAAAGGACATTTCTCTTCATTATTCTTGTTCTCTGAAGATCCTGGAATGGTCACTTCATGCTATCCAAGGTAACCGTGGATTGAAACCCACTTGGTGGAATACCCTAAAATGTTGTTATTTTCCTCATTAATATAGATTGGCCAAGGGTTGGGGGCCTCCTTCTACCAAGTTTCACCTTGATCTTGTATACATTTGTATATCAGATGTGGTGGCTTAGTTTTTTTTTTTTCTGGTGCTATGACTTTGGATACTGACCTATGAACCCAATACCCATGTTGTTCTAGTGTTGTCATTCATGAAGAGAGGAATCTGGGTTGAGTTCAAGGAATTGGTTAGCCCATAGTGGTTCAGTGAACTTGACTCCATAGTACCTCCTATGGTTCTGAGCACTTTTTGTACATCTAAGATACCAGGTTATTACCTGATAATAAGAGAAGCGGGACTTCTCCCTGTCTTGATGAGATTAAAAATGGACTCTAAATGCACTTAGATTGTTTGGCATACTTTATTACTTGCAAAATCTACAAACATTCTTTCATTTTGCCTCAAGACAATCCTGGGAGGTGGGTGTTATTCCCTCCTTTTTGCAGATGAGGAAACTGAGGCAGACAGAGATTAAATGACTTGCTCAGGGTCATACAGCTGGTAAGTGTTGGAGGCTGGATATGAACTCAGGTCTTCCTGACTCTAGGTCCAGCACACTATCCATTGGGCTACTTAGCCTACACACTTTTTTCTTTTGGCCTCTTTCGTTTCTTGCCGTAAATTGCTCAACCTTCCTTACAGGTCATAAGATCAAAAGAGATGATGTATGTAAGTCACTTTGTAAGCCACAAAGTAGTACATAAACATCAGATCTACTGTCCTTATTTTTATTCCAACATCTAATTGGAGAAAATGTATCTCCATAGACCTCACGGTCACTTTTCCCTTGTGTCTGTGTTTTGAGGTCACCTTCTTGTCTAGTTTCCCCTAATATTTTTCCCTTTAACCCCAATAGAACCTTTTTGCCCTCCTCTTCCAAGTTTTTGCTGTAACTGAAAAGAAGGTGTAATTTTAATTCTTAGGTTTCCTCTAACTGAATCATGAGGCTATTTGTCAAATAAAATGTGACTCCTATCCCAAATTATACTTCTATATATTTTTGCTGATGAAATGAGATTCAGATCCATTCCAAAGATAATTGTTTTATGTTCATTTTGTTGAAATTGTTTTATTGATCAATGAAATTTTCCTTTAATTGGCCTGCCCTTTCCTTTAATATTTTTGACAGAAATAGAATAACTTACTATTTCATGCCACTTCTATGAGAAAGTTCAAATAAATACAGGAGAATGTCAAAGGTCTCTATTGCCACCCCAACCCCCTTCTGAAAATGCAGTTACCAATGTTTCAGATTAACACCCAGAGGCCACCGAAACCGTCTGTGTCCTCCGCAATTACAAAAATAACAAGTTGAATATTTCAAGTTAAAAAAAGTAAAAAAAAAGAATAACTTACAGTAGATTCCAAAGGAGCTTCCTGTTCTTACCAGGGCTATATCTGCTAGTCCCTTACTTATGCTGTTAAATGATATTATGAAACAGATTAAACCCAAGTTAATATTAACTCAAGCAGGATGGGATGATGCTGTAGCAGGCAAAAGTAAATCCTGGGCCTTTTCTTGCTTACAGGTATATGAACAGTAAAGATTAATACCAACTAAAATCTAGAGTTGGGGAGAAGAATTAGCCGTCATGCATTATATTTGTGTTGGTATTGGGAGGCATAATCATATAGTGAGATCACAGGTCAGAAGATTTAGAGCTGGAAAGGACGTTAGGTGGGGAAACTGCATCCCAGAGAGGGTTAAGTTATATTTCCAAGGTCACAGGAGGAATAAATAGCAGAGCCAGGTGTCCAGCCCAAGTCTTCTGATTCTAATATCAGTACTCTTCACTGTACCACACTGTTTTTATAAAGTTAAGTAAGACTTCAGGGCAGTGGTTCTTCAATTGGGATCTGTGAACTTGTTTTAAAAAATATTGTCATCACTGTGTTTCAATATAATTGGTTTCTTTTATAATCTTACGTTATGTATTTTAAAACATTATTCTGAAAAAGGCTCTGTAGGCTTCACCAGGTTGCCAAAGGGGACCATGATATAAAAAATGTTTAAAAATCATGTTTTCTACCTTGATATCAAGCCACAAAGGAAAGGATGGTTCTTGCTATGAAATTCAATCAGTTGGTCATTTTTTTAGTCTTTTCTGACTCTTCATGACCCCATTTGGGGTTTTCTTGGCAAAGATAGTAGAGTGGTTTGCCATTTCCTCCTCCAGCTCATTTTACAGAGGAGGAAACTGAGACAAACTGGGTTAAGAGACTTGCCCAGGGTCACAGAGCTAGAAAGATTTGAATTGAATTGAATTGAAACCAGATTTGAGTTTGAATTCAGAAAGGTGAGTCTTCAGCCTGTTTTCCCTTATGATCACTAATGGTTTTTAATTAAAACTGAGCAAAGTATTTAAACAGATGGTTAATCTTTTCCTCTAGAAATATAAGTAAGACCCAAATTAATGATCTTACTAATTGTTCTTCTCTGTTTCCATTAGGGCATGGATAAATTAATCTGTTCATTTTTTTTAACCCAGTGAACCTATGTCTCTACACCAACAGTTGATGACACCATACTGGGGGTGAGGAAGGGGAGAGAAAACAGGAAGCAAGGGAGGGCAAGGAGTTACCAGTATTACTCCATCTATGCTTTTACTTTGTATTTACTTTGCTTTTCTACTTTCCTTGACTGTAGTTCTTCTGAATTCACAGCGGATGGCACTCTTTTTCTTTATGGCAATCTCCTCTGCCTTACTCTGGTTTCTTCTTGCCCTTCTAGTCTGGTGGTGTTCCAGTAAGGTCACCTCTTAGCTGAAGGTGGGGAAAGTTCCAAGAGTTCTTTTGTCTAAGAATATGGTTTGGAGGATGAAGAAAGGAAACTGAATTTTGAAGAGTTTGTGACCTGGCTTCTAGTCCTATCTTTACTATTTGTGTTAAGCTGTATAATCTTGAGCAAATTATTTCTCTTCCCTTGACTTTAGTTTCTTGATTTGTATAATAAAGGGTTTGAACTAAATTATTTATAAGATCTCTTTCAGCTGAAAGTTCTATAATTTTATGACTCATCCTGGGTCACATAGTAGAGATAGTGGTTGCTACCACATAGTGACTGAAGTAGAATACAAACTCTCAACGTAAGTCCAAGGCTCGTTTGACTATGCTGCCTCCCTAGTGTCTATAATTTCTAATAACATAATCCACAATGAAAGCTGTAAGAATTATCTCACTTTTTTTCGTAGCTTCCCTGAAGGAATAAAGTTACATTTACTTTAAAATCATTGTATAGCATAGTATTTTCCTCTTCAGTGGTGGAATGTTGTTATATTACCTAGTGGGATAGTTGGGGATGGGGGGAGGGAGAGAGGATGACCACTTACTAATTATATGACATTGGGATAATTAACTTCATGTTTTTGGGCTTCACTTTCCTTATCTGAAAAATTGAAAGAATTGGAGTAGATGATTTGAAGCTTCCATCTAACTATAATATTCTATTATCTGAGGACAGGAAGTTGCAGAGCACAGACAAATAGGGGAGTGAACAGACTTCTCACTGTCTCATACCACTTTAGAAGCACTGAAAGCTTACAGGCTCCCAGACTGAGTGGTAAATGCAGCAGAAGGATGTGAAAGATAGAAATTCAGGTCAGAAACCCTCCACACCCCTCCCCCTCGAGGTGAGCAGAGGTCAAAACTACCATAAAGTACAAAATCAAGAAGTAGGCTTGAAAAATGAACAAATCAAAAAAGAACCTGGCTATAAAAAAAACTAATATAGTGACAGGGAAGGTCAAGAAAAAAAAAAGAAAGCCAAACAAACCCACAAAAGACAATGATTTGGAAACACCTAAAAGTAAAGCCTCAAAGAAATATGCAGATTGGACACAAGCCCAACAGGAATTCCTAGAAGAGCTTAAAAAAGAGCAAACAACTTTATAAAAATCAAACAAGAATGGTAGAGAAAAATTTGGAAAAGAAATGAGAGCTAGGCAAGAAAATTATGAAAAGAGAATTAACAGCTTGGTAAAAGAGGTACAAAAATACTGAAGAAAAACACTCCTTAAAATCAAAATTGGCCTAATAGTAAAAGAGGTACAAAACATAATTGAAGAAAATGATTTTTAAAAAATTAGAGTGAGCCAAGTAGAATATAATGACTCCATGAGACAGCAAGAAACAATAAATCAAAGTCAAAAAATGAAAAAAGGAAGAAAATGTGAAATATCTCATAGGAAAAATAATCAATCAAGAAAAAATATTGGGAAGAGATTTTTTTATTTTTTTATTTTTTTTTGAATTTTATTTTTAAAATTTTTTTGGGGGGAGAGATAATTTAAGGATCATTGGGCTACTTGAAAGTCATGAATAAAAAAGGAGCCAAGATATCATCTTTCCAGAAATTATAAAGGAAAACTGCCTAGAGCCAGAGGGTAAAGTAAAAATTAAAAGAACCCACTTGTCATTTCCTAAAAAAAAAAGAATCTTAAAATGATAACTCCCAGAACATTATAATGAAAATGTAGCATTCCTGGGTCAAAAAGAAGATATTGCAAGCGTCTAGAAACAAAATAATTCAAATACCATGAAGCTATCAGAATCACACATGATTTAGCAGCTACCACTTGGAATATGATATTCTGGAAGGCAAAGGGGGCTAGGATTACAACCAAGAAAGACTTAGTTACTTTGATTAAAGCAATTAGCTACTTATCCACCTCTAGGTAAGGAACTGATAGACTTAGAGTGCAGATTGAAGCATCCCCCCATTTCTTTCTTTTCCTTGTATTTATTTTTTCCTTGTTTGTTTTTGGGTTTTTTTGGTGAGACAATTGGGGTTAAGTGACTTCCCTAGAGTCACACAGCTAGTGAGTGTTATGTATCTGAGGCCAAATTTGAACTCCTGGAGTCCTCCTGACTCCAGGGCCGGTGCTCTATCACCACCTCCCTGCCCCTCCTTTTTTTTTTTCTTCCTGGACATGGCTAGTGCAGAAACTTGTTTTGTATGACTATACATATTTGTAATGGTTTTTGTATTTCTCGCCTTCTCAGTGGATGGGTGAGAGAGGAAAGAGAAAATTTGGAACTGAAAATAAAATTAAGGAAGGGAAAACAGAGGAAAAAAAATAACCCTAATAGCTGGACTCTTTGGACCTATTAAACACTAGGTTACTGGCCTCATTTGCTTTTTGTATATTGCATACCCAATTTTCATTTATCATACTCTAATCCTCATCCAGAATTAAATTGTTTTGATGACTACAGCTTGGTAGTATAATTTGAGATTTGGTGCTGCTAGGCAGTTGCTTTTCTTAATATTTTTGACTTTTTGTTTCCTTCAAATGAATTTTGTTTTTTCCCTAGCTTTATATAATAATTATTTGGTAGTTTGATTGGTAGCTCAAATCCAGGCTCAGGTCTGCCTAGACAGGATCTATGCTTTAGATGCCATCTGCTTAGGGTCACTTGGAGAAATACTACATGCTCACAACCTTATGGAAGCCATGGCTGAAGTTAGGAGGCAGCCTCCTCTCCCCCTGTGACTCTTGGGAAGCAGCTCAAAACAATCCTGACACGATTCACAGACAGAAAGAGAGAAGCAGAGGGATGGATTGCTCCTTTTCGTACATTGACTAAGTAACTAGCTTTTCTGCCTCCTCAATCAATAAAGAGATTTGTCTTCTCGGAGTACGAGTCTTTTAACCTTGGCTCACACAGCTGGAAACCAGCTCCAAAATTCCCTTGTGTTTGATTCAAATCAGAAAGGCCAATTCTAAGCATGCTCCATGGAAAGACCCCTACAGGCCAATTCAATCTTGCTCTACTAGTAAAGATACAAACCTGCATGTTTGAAACAATAGGCTACTTACTCTCTTCCTCCAGTTCACTCTCTTCCCTGTGAACTGTATTCTCCCACTCCTAGCTCCTTCCTCCTTGGCTTCCTGTTTCTGTCCCCTGAGCAGCCAACTGCTCCCTTGATGAGGCTGCAGAAGGCTGTGTCCCTCTGTACAAAATTTAGATATTTTGCTATACTTAGTATAGTCTCGGTTAGGAATCATAACTGTTTCAGCAGTTTGTTGAATCCCCATCCACTGATGTTATCTCCTTCAAGAAGAGAAATCCCTTATATAAGGGATCACTTTTTGATTCCCCCACTGGGCCTTACAGGCAACATCACACTTATCATGTAATATTGCGTATTTAGTCTCTATGTTTCTGTCTTATTCCTCTACTAAAATTTAAACTCCATGAAATCAAGAACTGTGTCTTAATTTTGTGTCTGCCTTAGCTCCTCAGTGTTCTCTACACTAAGTAGTTGCTTAATGGTTTTTGATTGAGTAATCCATATTTGTTCAATGAATGACAGTCCTCTGTGGGATTTTGATAAATATGAAGGAAAGTTCCAGCTTTAATATAGACCTTGGCAATGCAGTAATTTATGCCCCTCCCTGAATGGTGCCATATCCAGGTCACTCTATGGGAGAAGCAGAGGGAA